TTTTTTTTTTTTTTTTTCCATCTTTGTTAGGTTTCAGGTATTTTAATAACAAATGAAGTGCATCCTGTAGATAGGCGAGTATACCATTTCAAACTTTGCATATGCTAATGAAATGGGAGTTCTTCACCCCAGTGGTCTGAACCATCTTGGGCTTTTATTTGGGGCAGCTTCGAGATTGCCAAGGTCATATGAAGATTATTTTAAAATTCACCATGTTGAATTCACACATCTTACAATGGTTAAATTCAAAATATCAAACTAAACATTTTTTTGTGGCATTGCATACTTGAAACTTATCTTGTAAAAACGATGTTGAAACTCAGCTCATTAGCATATGTCATCCAATAGCCTAAAATCATAGGATATTCCACTGTTGTTGTCATATATTTGAGTTTGCCTTCAATTGAAGTGGGATGAAGATCCTTCAAGTTCGATTAATATTTTAAGCCTAAAGTTGAAGGCTTACTACTAGTTGTTTTAATCACAGATGATGTTAGCACCATGTACACAAGGTAACTATATTTTGTAGCCAACCTTGCCCTAATAAATTTACGAGCTCATTGGATATATATAAAAGAGGTGGTGGTAAGGATGTATAACGTAACCACTGTGAAACACTTTCAAGAAAATGATGTGCTTGAATGCAATTTGGTATTGATGGTTAAAGATTAAAGATCTCTTTTACTTCTTTCTCAACTTATGCCTCTTTTACATAATGTATAAATTAGAATATAAAAGATTAGGGGTGTGGGTTTCACCCCTAGATCCTCAGCTACTACTTCATTCCCCACATTAGCTGCTATATTTCACACTACAGCTTTTGAAGATTCTAACCACAGTAAAAGTTTGTTTATAAATGAGTCATTTATTTATTATTCTTAACTTTGTTTAATGCAAACTGGAGTCTATTATGAGACATTTCTATAAACGTAAATAAAATCACGACCTAGATCTCCAGAATGTAACTTTATTAGCTCAATATTTCGTTATTACAGCTCTGTTAGGAGCTATCAATATCATACAAGTTCACTAATCCAGTTAAATCTAAATTTGAAAACTGTCATTCATTGATACACATATTTAGAAAGTTGATATTATATTAAAATAATATCAAACATTCTTGAATTTATATTGTTAAGACAAGTCAAACTAACATTGCTATATAAATAATGTATAAACCAATAAGTATATATTTTTTTTTATGTTTGGCTTTGTTAAACACTGTCTACTATAATACAGGTTTCTCAAACAGGATTAATGATATTTGTGCTATTATACTTTACATACCATAGTAGAAGTTAAAACAAGTAAAGTGTAATAAAGAACACTAACTTACTTGGTCAACAGTTATCTCTCCAATTACTTTACTTCCATACTGTTCTCGAAAACTTTTTACATACACTTGCTGCTCCTGGATTTTCTCAGCTAGGAGAGACTTCAGGTCCTATAATAAGAACAATACATTTTTTCTCCTTTATCAAATTTTGGATATCTGTGTAAATGTCACTACAAGAAAAACTACAGCTTCACTGCAGAAAATTAAAAAATTTTTAAATGCTTTAAGGAGTCAAGAGTAACATGCATAACTGATATGTACTTAACAAAATAAATGAAAATATACTTCTCTTAAAACTAACTGAAAAATAAAATTCATTACCAACATTTAAGGTAATTTTTTTAGGAACTGATGAATCTCTAATCTTCATTTTTTATTTTGATGAAGAGAGAGAGAGAGAGTGCTAGTACAGAAATAACTGGACACTATACTTTCAGAGAGTAAACTTTAATAACTATATTTGTATTATTACAAGTTCCAGCCATAAAAGTTCCTTCTTCTAGCCCTCTTTATGTTCCTCATCAATGATGTTTTCTCCATATTTGCATAATGCATAAGAAAAGTTCAAACAGACCTAAATATTAAATGATGTATAAACTTAAGTACAGGTGCATGATTGGTACAGTGTACATATATTATAATAATAATATACAAGGTATTAATAAATCAAATGTTATTTGGCCAAAACAAAGCATTTTTCCAGTGACCCCATTAATATTATAATAAGTTTTTTTTATCTCATCCAACCATGCTACAATCCAGTTTACTAATCTTTCCCCAATCCCCACTGATGTGATTTTTCTTACTTATCTTTTGTATGGCACCTCATCAAAAGGTCTTTGAAGATTTAAGTACACCAAGTCCACACACTTTCCCTCATCCAGCTGACACATAACATCCTCAAAAAAAGTTAGTGAATCAGAAATGGAAAATTTCCCTTTCGTGGGGCCAGTTTACTTTCTTATATGATATTATATTTCACTAGCTAATTTTGCCAAGCTTCTTTTATCAGACTCTCTCCAATTTTCCCCTCTAAACAAGTAAAAATTACATGGTCTCTAATTTCTAGGACAATTTTTATCAGAATATTCAATCCTAAGAGAACTTCCTCCTGTTTATTGCCTTACCAAAGAAGAAAGAGAGAGGCTTGCATATCTGATCTTTGACCTTCTTTAAATTTCTGAGGAATACCTTGTCTGATCCTGTTGCTTTATTTGATTTTTTTTAGAAATCTTTCTACTTATCACCAAGAAATTACTACCAACATAGTTCGGGTCAATTCCACTGTTTCCCATAAACTTTTCAGGGTGAGAATTATTTATATTTGACTTTTTTCAGGGCCAGAATTATTTACTAAAAGCTCAGCCATCTCACAGTCTTCACACACACACACACAAAAAAAAGAAGAAAAAAAAAACACACACACTTTCCACCACTATCCTCTAAGTGCACAATCCTCCTTTCAACATTTTATTTACCTTTAACATATTTAAAAATCATTGGTGTTAGTTTTAACATTATCAGCCAGCTGTTTCAAATAAGCCCCTTTTGAGCTCCTTTTTTTTATTTTGATTAACCAAGTACCAAGCCTTCCCATAACTCTGTAAATTTTGCCATCCTGTCAGTAAATTTAAACTTCTTAAACATATGTTAATTTGTTTATTGTTAATTACAAAGCTACAAAATGGGCTCTCTGTGCTATGCCCACCACGGGTAGCAAAACTCAGTTTTTAGCGTTATAAGACTTCAGAATTACCGTCGAGGGGCTAAATCTATGACATTTATCCTGAATTTTCTTATTTAGTATGATAATTAGGCTTGATTCTCCCTCTTATTCATATTTGCTTTTAAGGAACACGAATATCTGGATTTAAAAGTAATTTATTTCAAAAAATTTTCAAAATCTGTTCCACATCATCTATTCAATCATTATCCCAATTCACTAATGATAAATCTTGTCTGAATGCTCCAAACTTGGCTTTCTGAAAAATTAAAACAAATATTTCATTCATTTATTTTTTTTTATTCTCAACGTGTACTAAAATGTCAAACCTAATTATGTTATGATCACTCTTCCCTAAATGTCCCCCCCCCCCACTTGAATTCTTACAAACACATCCTTATTGCTATCTAAAAATAGATATAAAACCGTAACCCTGCTGGTTAAAATAGCCTCTCTGACCATTTGGTACAGAAAACAGTCCTGAATCAGTTCAGAACATTACCTCTTACCCAAACTATTTAATTCCAAATGATCCCAATCAATATGTGTATAATTACAGTCACCCATAATTATTGTATCAGTATCATCTCAAGTAGCAGCTGTGATTTCACTCTACAACTTCTCTGTCTGATTACAAAGCTGCCTATTAAAATCTTTCTACTCTTGAAGCCACTGACTGTAATCCATATAGATTCAACTTTTACTCACAACAGGTACCCCCAACCCTCCTCTTTCTACTCTTGAAGCCACTGACTGTAATCCATATAGATTCAACTTTTACTCACAACAGGTACCTCAACCCTCCTCTTTCTACTCTTGAAGCCACTGACTGTAATCCATATAGATTCAACTTTTACTCACAACAGGTACCTCAACCCTGTGAAAGTCTAATTTAAACCATCTTTAATGAACATCCTTGAGCTTCCCAAACTATCCTACTATCCAGCCTGCTTTAGTGGAGCCCAGATGATAAGCTTGTTTAACTTTGTTACTTCAAGATTCTATATCCCACCATCATGTCTAGCATGTGACTAATAAACAAATATCAAGAACTATGCATACATACATAAAAAAAACAGTACAATCTTTATTAAAAAAACACATAAAGGAGAAAGAAAATAAATGAGGTTGGAGTAAGGAAATAGCAGTATATCCGTAAACAGATTCCAATTTCAAAACACCAAATTACTATATCAATCTGGTACTAAGTTCATCTGTCTAAGGGATCTGGCTATAAATATAGGAGCAACAGTGTAGACAGAGTGGCGAATTTGTCCATTGCTGTGCAAATAAATCAGCGAGTCTGAAACTACTCATAGTTATTCTCAAAAGTTCATGGAAAAGTTATAACCTGAAGTAAGTCTATATTTTAGAACAAAAAAATAATGTCAAACATATTGTAGACATACAACAAAACAGATACAGCAGATATTGCACACAACTTCAAATTTTGTATTTTTGAGCTTAGCAGTTTATAGAAATATATGTAAATATATATATATATATATTTTATATAATGTAACAACTATAGAGGAAATTTGTTTCCTTGGAAGTTGAGTCTGGATAACTAGCTCAGTTTGTTGAACATCAATTTCAAAATGCTGATATGAGAAAGGATCCTAAATTCAAGTCCCACAGGATAAATTTCATTACATTCTGATCCATCATATTACTTATTTTACATTATATTTCACTTTGTGTTCAGTTTACTTACAGTGGCACTTGAGGAACTTCTGGAGATTATTGCTATTGCACAGGGGGTTTTCTGAAAAAAAAAAAGCAATTGTCAAAGAATTGAATATGTAAAAATACTTTTTACATTCATTCATATCACATTTTATTCTTCTGAGATAAAAGTAATGCATATCTATAAAACTAAACAAAAACTCAAGTACTTTTGAAGACCTGTCTCTTCTTGAGAACTTCTGAACCTATTCTTCGAAGGTGTTGAAACCTTTTGGATTTTTAAATTAATTCATTCAAGATTTGTGGTCTCATCCTACTTCTTCAATATCGTACATCACCCATTCACTAATATGTACAATACTGTTGTGCAGTAGTGTGTCCTATTCTTTTGCAAGTTATTTCTTGTAACAACATATTAAAAGGAACAAGGAACTGATCAGCCACTTCATTGAAAAAAAAGGAACTGATTGGCAACTTCACTGACAAAAAGGAACTAAGAACTGATCGCCAACTTCACTGTAAAAAAGGAACAAGGAACTGATCAGCCACTTCATTGAAAAAAAAGGAACTGATCGGCAACTTCACTGTAAAAAAAGGAACAAGGAACTGATCAGCCTCTTCATTGAAAAAAGGAACAAATTAAGGAACTGATCAGCAACTTCACTGAAAAAAGGAACAGGGAACTGATTGCCCACTTCATTGAAAAAAGGAACTTAGAACTGATCGTCAACTTCATTGTAAAAAACTTAAGTTCTGTTGTTGCTGTAATTTAAGAATATAAAACATTCAACTTCATTTTCTACATTTAGGCTCTTATACTTAAGACTATTCAGGTCCTTCTGAATAATATCAATAATTAATATAAATATTCTCAACAGTATACCATTTAGTATAATTCAAAATGTTAATTCATGAAAACTATCCAAATCATTGACATGAATGTTGAATGAAAAAAAAAAAGGGAGACCCCTAAACGATGATTCACTAGTTAAATTCTTTTTATCAAAAATTACACTTATTCATCCCACCTGTTGCTTTCACTCAATAAACCAATTATAACTATAAGCATAAAACTATGTACAATATTGGTTTGTTTTCCTTTCTCTATACTTGTTCCAAGATATTTACAATATATTCTGAAATCTCTTCAAACATACATTCTTCTATATTCTGTTAGAAATTAATGCAATATTTTTGTTAAAGCAACAACGCTTAAATAACCTAGGATGCATATAATCAAATATGCAAAACAGACTTCCAGGTTATGTTGCATAGCTGCTAGCTTAAATACAGGAGTACCTGCCATCTGGAAGTCAATATTTCACCACCCTATCAAAATGGTATGATAAAAAATATTTAATAAAATGTATTTTCTACATACAATAAATGTTTGATATTACATAATGGTAACTAGTAAATAGGTTTAAGATGTTAAAAATTGGTATTAAATGCTATTGTAGGCGCCTATATTTTAAAGTGAAGCTATTTAGTAAACGTTTTTACACTTAATATGGAAGAATGAATATTTCTACTACAGGCCTATGTTTTGCTATTTTACTTAATAACCAGTACAATATAGATATATTTTTTCATGAAACACAAAACAATGGTATTCATGCATATTTAATTACTGTAAAATATAACCTAGTAATTATTATCTGTTAATATTGTTATCAATATAATTTATTTTTTGTAATTACACATTACTACGTCATTAGGAACATTGAATCACTCAGCATGTTAAACATTCGCGTACGAATTTATTTATTCTTAATTAGTATGTGTGAAGACTGAAAAAATAATTTTTGATATAAAATTCAGATATACCTGCAAAACATGTTGCGATATTGCTAACTGAGACGCAAACGCACGAAAGAAAGCCATGAAACTTAAATTCCTTTGCTTTGGTCAATAAGAAAGACAAACACAGTGAAAGCTAAAAGTTCAAACACACTCCTTATTGTTGCTGCCTTTTGGAATACCAAATTGGTCACTAAAGTTATACTAATGCTGTAAATAATTGTAAACGAATGATAATATTATTATTGACAAAATTATTAAGCAATTGCATAAAATAAACAATAATGATTGAATAGTTTATAAATAATCTTTGTATACTAAATGCTCGATCAGGTCAAAGTCCATGGGAACATCATATAATGTTTTTTGATTGGTTTTGCAGCACTCCACTAAACTTAGTGTACAGGCATGAATTTATCAATCAAATTTACCCCATTGCAAATATGCTAGATTACATATCCTCTATACAACAATATATTTTAAATACAGTATTTTTATAATCACGTGGAGAATAAGTTTTGATCGTTGACATGATATTAGTTTTTGTTTTTTGTTTTTTAGTATAAATGATTTGAGCTGGTAAAAACAAATTAACTAAAGTCAGTAAATAACAAGATGAGCACGCATTATTAAGTAATACTTTTTAATTTATTTCACTTCAAATTCAAAGTGTTTAATAAAGCTCTTTGTTTTAAAGTAATCCTGAACGTAGGTTCAATACATTCCAGTTTACCAAATGAAACCAACGTCTTTATAAATTGATAGTATACGTGACAGTTTTGAAAGTGGCAATTATACCAACTTTTTTCTTTAAAAAGTTTAAGTTATACCATCAATATAATTAATTTGCATTTTCAAAATATTTATTTTAGATTAATATTTATGTACATTCATAATAATTAAAAATCCATCTAGGATCTAGGGTATGCTTCAGGTTTTTGTTTTAGCTGTTAGTAGTGCTGACATATTTTCTTCGTATTAATATAAAGCGTCTAGGTATAGTGTTCAGTCTGAGTGCGGAAAGGTTGGAGAACAATTCGTATAGCTAGGTAAGTAGGATTATCACTTTTTAAATATTTTATTTTTTGGAAAGTAAGTTGGAAATTTAATTCATTTTTATGATTGTAGCTTTAATTTAATAAATAATGGGTATAAGTTATGGTAACATTGTCGGCAATGGATGTAGCTAATATACTATTGGTACTAATAATAATAATAAGTACTCGGTTTAATTAGTACTGGGTTGGCTTATTCAGTTATTGTGCACTCTTCTTTCATTTTTTTTTTTCACTCGGAAGTTCTTGGGAATAATAATAATGCAAAAATTATATATCTCCATAAGCTGAACAATAATAATAACTAATCTTCCCGAAGTTCCTTATTTTCAAATTAACTGATTTTGAATTATTTCGAATACGAGTAACTCCATAAATGATAAACTTATCGTTATCATGTTGTGTTTTGACATGGTATAAATAAACTATAATGTGATTCTGAGTTAGGTAGCTTAACCATAAACCTTGCTACTAAAAGTTACGTTACAACTTCCGCTGTTACTTGTTACAATGTTAGTGTTACTGTTCGACTTTGAGTGACAGCTTCTACAACGAAGTACAAGTATTAATATAGTAATACTACTAGTAATGACCACTAGCTTAGACCCATAATTTTAAATACTGTAAATGTAATGTAAAGGCAGTTTAGTTTATATAATGATCACTAGTGTTAGTGATTAGTTTTATTTTAAAAAACACCTGAGATTGAGGCCTTTACTTTTTGTCTTAAAAAAAAATTGCCTTAATGCAAAATATTATTATAACTGTTAGTAATTAACTAAAAGCAATATACCTCTACTAGTGTTTCTTTTAATTAATTAAATATATAAATTAAAAATCATACTTAAAACCAGAGGTATTGAAAACCTATTGATTTTTGCTTGAAAACGTTTTTTGGTGTTATATCAACTGTTACTACCACTAAAATAATCAACTGATCATACTTTGTTGTAACTTGTAGTTGTGTGCTACAAGAGCCTAAGTAATAATAATGCAATTTGGGTGCAATAGAGCAACAAAAGAGAAGTATATACAGTATGGATTTGCTACTCGATTTACCCACATTGTGTTTTAATAAATGTAAAAGAATAGGAATGTTTATTTGCTCCTTTCACGTTCGATATTTATCGAGCCTAAAAGGAAATGTTAATTGAATCGCATGTATGGGAAAATGTTGCACACACACATAGTAAACTGACAAAAATTCGTAATGTTTAATTTGTTTTTTGCTCTGGCAATGTGAATTTGCTGTTACAACATTGGAGAATGAGATGATGTTGATATTCTTAGAGACATTTCGACATGTTTATGGTCAAATTCAAACACAGTTTGCTCTAAAAATACTTTTTTTTTTTAATGTCAAAAAAACATTCCAGTTTGTTCCCGTATGACTCGAGTACTGCCTTTAACATCAGTTGTTACTTTGCTATATTTTGCTACTTCCTTGTTACAAACTGTACATGTATTATATAATGTGTAAACTATTACATTTAGTTTTATTTGGAAATTGGATAATATTATAGTAATGTATGTTAAAGTAAGTTCTGCCAAATTTGCACAGAACACATCATTATGAAAACAATCCCAGGTCAAGTTTGTATCAAGTTTAGTACTGTAACACATAACTAAAAATTTATGGTGGGGTTAAGTGTGGAGTTTTGACAATTTATAAATTTTGTGTATACTATAAATAATGCAGTACTAGTTACCCATTAAGAAATTGATAATCTTCGGTAATTTCAGAACTTGTTAACTTAATGCTATAGTTTTTTCTGTAATCCCCTTATGGTGAGTGGTGCCGACTAGCCTCTAGTCTGTCATTTTAAAATTATGGATGGTTAGTGCAGATAACCTTCTAGTAAGTAGCTTTGTGTGAAATTCCAAAGAAACATCAAATAAACCTCATCATTAGGATGCTATAGAGTACATGTGTTACAGCAAATGTGAACTCTAATGAAAACCAAAATATTGTAGTTTATACCATAAGAACATTTAAGCAATAACGCTGTAGTCCTTAAAATGATTTATGCTTATTTGAATATAAAATTATATATTCACAAGTGTGAGAGAGAAACGGAATGGATCTTCCCACGTCATGTGATACTTTTGTGGTGTTGCCACCATCAACAGCGCAAGGCTTTATTGTGTTTGGTAAAAATTCCAATCGACCTTCTGGAGAAGTTCAAGAAGTCGTTTATTTTCCTGCTGCTGATTACCCAGCCGATTCAAAAATTCAAGTAAGTACAGCAACATTGTAAGAATTGTTTTTAACTGCAGTTGTAGTGTTTTAAGCACCGTCTGTGCTTAAACAACCTCAGGTTTGGAGAAAAGCAACGTATCAAACTAGTGATAAACAAAGCAACTGTTAAATATTAAAAATAACTTGGATATGAAAATATTTGAAGGAACCAAAGCTCATAAAAAAAAAAAACAAAAAAACTAACTAATAACTTGAAACATTTCAAGAAATGAGACAATAACATTATTGTAAATTATAGCCTTCCCACATGTTTAAGAAAGGATTTCTTTGAAAGAAATCTTTATCATCCATAACTCTGTTTAACAAAGACTTGGGGGGGGGGGATAAAAACTAAAAGGTTATCTGATTTTGGAAAAAAAAGTTTAAATTATCATATTTCAGTTTTAAGTTGATTCAGTAATTGGCTAAAACTATACTTTAAGTTTCTGCAGAAGGAAGTTTATCACAAGTTAGCAAAATCAACTAAACATTGTTTTAATATATATATAATTAAAACATGCACATGTATATATCTCTGGGCTGAATTTCTACCCTTTACAGTGAATGTTTACAGCATGTTACTTTTACTGTTTGTAAATAACAAGCTAAATGTTGATGTTTCTATAAGTTTTTTTTTTTTTGTTATATGTTATTTTCTTGCTGCACAGTGTGTTGATTCTGCAAGGTTTAGATATGTATATCAAGATTTTGAGCACGTTTACCGAGCTTAAGGATTATTATTGATAGAAAAATAAAGTTAACTTGGTGTAGTGACTAATACATGCTCAGCAGTTGTTTTTTTTTACGGAAACTGCTGTGAGTGACTCAACAAACTGGTATGTACACTGAAACAACTGGTGTTGTAAAGCTGCATGTGCCAAGTTCTGTCATGTGTAAACAAAGAGGAGTGACGGCTATTTTAGAAATGGAGCTCATATTTTTAAAAACTTTTTTTACCTCTCTGCATGTAGTAATTTGTTTAGCAAAAATACAGTTTTTTTAAAACAATACCTGAACATGTTTCTTAAGTTTGCTTTTACGTACCCTTCACTACAGTGACTACATGTTTGTGGAATTTGAAATATTCTGATAAAATTGCTTGAAATTTGAAGATAAACTATTTAAACAAAAAAAATGCAACAAACCTTAGTGCAGATAGAAGCTTAGATAAATTTCACAATTAAAATGGTTTTTAACCTGGGGGGGGAGTGAAAAGTTAAAATATGAAATAAATCTGAATTCCCTTTTTTTTTCTATTCTTTTATTGCTTTATAGCTATGCTTAGACCCAATCAGAGTGCACTGAAAGCCATATACTTGTAGTGGGACAGCTTTTCATAAACCCCCCGTGACGTGGATTCCTGTACGTGGTGAGGGGACCTCCCAGGGAAGGTTCTGTATTTACAGTTACTTTCTCTGGGATCTAAACATCCACCCACGT